CTTCGAGGTGACGCTGCTGCGCCCGGACGGCAGCCGTGAGTGCGGGCCCGGGCCGAGAGGGAGAGCGGGGCTCGGGGGTCGCGGCCAGCCGGCCGTTGTGGGCAGAGGCTGAGGCGTCGCCACCTTTGCCTTTCCCCAGGTGCGGAGCTGTGGACTGGGATTAAGAAGGGGCCCCCACGCAAACTCAAGTTCCCGGACCCTCAGGAGGTGGTGGAGGAGCTGAAGAAGTACCTTCCTTAGGGAGAATGGACCAGACGCCCACCAGCCTAGGTTTGGACTACGAGGGTGGGGGATCAGCGGCAGCTTAAGTTAAAACTCATTGCGCACGGGAGTTGCATTTCAAATTTCCTCCCTTGGAAATGCCCCTTCCCCATTTTACTGGAAGGAAATTGAGACGGCAGAAAAATGACCTTCGCCTAGGTCGTTAAGACCTCTGTGTAGCTCTCTGGTCTCTTGAGCCAAGTTGTAAGCGCTTAAATGGTGATGCAGACACCTCTATAGAATGAAATCTGTGCTTATGGTTAATGCAGTTGCTGCCCTGTGGCTGTGGCTCAGTTTAGCATTTCTTTGCAAAGTAATTTCCACATACCTGATAAGGGTGTGTCTCTTCAATTCTTTCACCTGGTTATTTTATTGGTTCCTCATTGGTGAATTAAACTCTTGACACGTGACAGGTATGGGTCTGTCCTCCATTCACTGGCAGAAATCTTTTCAGGTGCCTTTTGTATACTTATCCCTCTCCCTAATCCTTACCTGGGTGGGCTTCTAACCAGTTCCTATTATATCTCCTGCTGAGAATCCACCTTTCCACCCAATAGGAAATCAGCCTGCGTTTTAACAGGATCCCTTAATCTTGTAGATCTTTGTTAAACCACAGATTGAATTAGTTTACCCCAAACCCTGGTGCTTCCCGTTCACGGTGCAGTGGGATTGGAATGCTGTCAAGTACTGCCGGGCCTGTCCTCTCTTGTGGTGCTTCAGCACTTTAAAACATCCTGCTGAGCAATAGTCTTTGGGCTCTGGAGCTTGGGGGTGGGTGTTCAAAGGGACACATTTCTCACAGGGCTTTGGTTGGTGGGTCCCATTTGCTAACGTTTCTCTCCCCTTTCACTTTTGCAGTCCCGTCCCTGGTGATGTTGGAGCATTTATGATGGAACATGGCCAAACTTCAGTCATGTGCCTGAAGCCCGTCTCCTCACTTCCAGAAATGGTGGTTCAGTTGTGAGGCAACCTTCCAGAAAGGCATTGCCAAAAAAGTTATTGGATTTGGTTAATAAAAGTTCTTGACTAAAAGTGTTTTTGTAATAGAACAAAACTTAATCATATGGTAAACAATCCCAAACTCACCTGCCATTCAGTTGATGCTGACTCAGAGACCCCGTAGGATAGGGTAGAAATGCTTGTGTTTCTCAGATTTAACTCTTCTTGGGAGTAAAACCCTCTGGTTGTACTCCCAAGGAGAGGCTGGTGGTTTCAAACTGCTGACTTTGAGGACTGCAGGCCAACATGTAACCACTACACCCCTAGCCTAGGGCTCATAATCATATAGTAAGGGATAGACAAAAGAGCCTTCTGGGATTGATCCTCTTGGTATTGTTTAATTTGGGACTCTTACATGGCAGAGCATATGAAACACTTGCTACAGCTATGGTAGAGAAGTAAATAATTTATTTTTCTTTAAAAAAACCCCAACTAAGTTTCAACTCACTTCTTGGAAGTGGCGACAGAAGTATAAGTTCCTAGGCCCCCATGGAGGTTTGGGCTAGACTTCCCGGACTGGCAGTAAGTAAGCGCTCTGTGCATTAAGTTCTAGATAATGTCCTTCCACTACTGCTTGCTTATCTCCTGAGACTTAACTATTTCACCTTCTGGAATTTTTTTTTATCCAGAACACACAACCAGAGGATGCTTTTTCTCAACTTTCGTGAATTATCAGTGATGCAATAACCTCGGACCTTTAAAACCTGGCTGACCTTGTCTGCTGGGACTGGAGACCCCTGTTACATTATTTTTAATGACTAGAAAATAAATTGCAGAAGGAGCGTTCCTAATTTTCCACTCAGGGTACCACTTGGCTACTGTGTGGTTCCCACAGAGGGGAGGAGGAGACCTACAAAGAGCCTAATGCACTCCCGCTTGTGCTGAGATGGCATGTGCTGATGTTCCCCACCCACCTCCCTTACTTTCCCAGATCCCTTCACCTGCCCTCTTCTCTGCTACGTTAATATATCGACCTCTGTTTCTGACTCCGAGGAAGGGTCTGGCCACACAGAGGGAATACTGGTGGGTACTACCATCTCTGAAGCCCAGTTCACCACATCGATCTCCTCTTCAGAGCTGTCAGGATGTGGCTCCAGCAATTCTGAGTTATTGATCGTTTTGTCTGTCCCTGGAGTTGGGTACAATGCCTCATCCATGGTTAGGGACACCTCCAACCCTGTCTCCAACCAGTTTGAACAGGAAGAGAAGTCTCCATAGGACCCTGGCAGAGGCTCAATAGAGTCTATGTGGACAAAATTGTCTCTCTGATCAACCAATGGGTGAGGGCTAGTAATGTCAAGGTCTGGAGTCCAAGAGCCTGGCATTGAAAGTACTTCATTTTCGCTCACCTCGGAGGGCATGACTAGGGGGCTCAGGGGCTCTGTTGGCTCTTTGTTCTCAGAGGGTATGAAGAATGGACTGAAGGGCTCCACTGGTTCTTTGTTCTCGCTTACAGGTTCCTTTTCCAATTCTGTGAGCTCCCTGGGCCAAAGGTCCATGTCTGGCAAGCACCATTCTTCATTCCAGTCCTTCCCTGTTTCTGTCAGTTGATAACTGGGGGTCTGACACCCCTCGGCCCTGGAACTCTCCAGAGACCCTACAGGTGGTCCAATGTCTGAGCCACAGAGCACATAGTCCAGGATCTCCTCCAGTTCACTAGTGGCAGCAGCGCTTGTGATCCGGTACTCTTCAGCTTCATAGGGCTGCCCAAGGAGTCTTGTGTCGAACTCAAAGTTCTCTCTGTAGTCAGTCGCCAGCACAGCCTCTTTCCCGACCAGTTCTGGACTGGACTCAATCTTGGACTTCACCATGGGGTGGTCTGGGGAACATCTTGCAGAGAGCAGAATGTCTTGAAACCTAGAGCACAAGGGGGAGTCCTGACACAGATCTATGGGTGCAGATACCATTTCTTGCTCCATGAGTGAGGGTGGCTGAGTTCCTACAGGCTCTTCTAAGCCTCTGCCACGTTCTGGGATGTGGGGGCTACCTTGAGAGTCTTTAAGAGGGGGTTCTTGCACCACCTCCCAGCTGGTTCCATTTACAATCTTCCGAAGTTTCACTCTCCCCACTTGTCCCTCCTCCACTGAGTCAGAGTTAGGGACTCTGCCTTCTGGACTCCGCTTCTTGTTCCCAACACCAGATGGGCTTGGAGTGCTCTGTAGAGGATTAGTGCTCCCTGGGTTCTGTTTGTCGTCTGGTACTTCTTTCTTTACACTCCTTTGCCGCCAAAGACGCCGGCCAGTGGCTGTGGGCACTGAGCTGGGTCCACTCAACACACTGGGCGTCTTTGGGGCACACAAATGAGCTGGCTTTGAGCGGCTTAGCCTGATCTTTCTGGGTAGTCTCTCACTCGCAGACGGGTACAAGCTGGGTAGGGAAAGAGCTGCAGAGCCAAGGCTGGGGTCACCCTTGTTTTCCTCAGGCCTCTGACTGTGGCTTGATGGTGAAGAGCTTTTTTCCTGATTTGGGCAGGGTCTGACCCGCCTTTTGAGCAGAAGATTGCCAGACAAATTCTCTACATTCTGTCGATTGCTTTTCTCCTGGGGACCCTCTTCCTTCCCTGAAGATTTCAATCTCACTGCTCCAGTGCTACAGGGTGTCTGGTTAACAGGTACTGGGGCTCGAGGGTGGCGGCTGGGTGCTACCACTCTGGCAGAGATAGGAGGCTGTAAGCATTCTCGGTTCAGTCTTCGGCCCTGAGGGGCCTTTACCAGCTTGCCACCCTCTAGCTGAAGAGATTCTAGCTCCAGTAGCCGGAGCTGACGGGCGGCAGAGAGTACATCCAGGGCTTCTTCTCGAGATACTTCCATCTCTGAGGTGTAAAGGAAGTCCACCAGCTTCCGAAGTATCCGGATCTTCAGGCCGCCCAGCTCTACCACCACCTTCCGACCCTGTGCTGGCCTCTCCCGCTCCAGGCGTTCTGTGAAGAAGGGGCTGCAGGCCGACAGGATGCAGCAATGGGCTGGGACTGCTTCACCTGTAGGGAAAGGCGCACACTGTTCTCTCACGCAGACAGGCAAGTCATGGCCTAAGCATAGAGTACTACCCAAATGTACTGGCCCTTTTCTCATTTTCTTTCCACAGAAATTCCAGGAGAAAACCCTGTACCTTCTGCCATTACTTTCTGCCTCCCTAACTTATTTTCACCCTTCAAAACCTAGCTTAGACATCATTCCCTTCCGAAAACATTCCTCTGGTTTAGGTGCTTCTGGGTACAAAGGAAAGTACTCTGGCTATCACAGTGCTTGGGGAGACTAAGCTCTGTAAGGACAGGGACCATGCCTGCCTCAATCACTGGGCATATTGAGTGCTGGACAAAAATAGGATCAAATCCTTGAGGATTTTTTTTTTTTTGTCAGCTCACAAGACTTTAAAGAAATATCTTAACAAAGCATGCATGTGGAGGCAGATAATCTGGGTTCACTTCTCTCCTGAGCTCTAACACTGTTCCTGGACAGGGACGTGCCCAGGACCGCCTCTCTCAGCTTCATACCATAAGCACACTGGAGCCTGTATGTGATGCATGGATGCCTTGCAAGCACTTCTAATACAACCTTTGGGAGATGAACTCATTCTCTACCCAGAAAAGCCACCTCCTGTGGTGCCTACTTCATATAAGGTATCACCTTCACCCAGTTAGTTCCCAAGCCTAAAAGGTAGAAGTCACCCTTAATTCTTTAGCCTTTACTCACCTAATATGATTTTTTTTAAAAAAGCTAGTATTGTCTTGAGTGCCAGGCATTATTCTAATGGTTTTACCAGTATCCATTTGGTTCATGTGAACTACAATGTGTGAAACCAGGCAGACCGAGGAACTCGTTCATGACTGTACAGTTAGTTAAGTAGCAGAGAGTCCCTGAGTGGTATAAGCAGTTTGGGAACCTACCCAGCAGAAGCAAGACCTGGTGATCTGCTTTTGTTAATGACCACAGCCAAGACCTTAAAGTACAGTGCTCCTCTTAACATATGAGGTTACCATGATTAGAATTAATTTGCCAGCAACAGATTTTTTGTTTTTTTCTAAGTAGCAGAGACAAGATTTGAGCCCAGGAGTCTATGCTCCTTAACAACTTCAGAAAATTCTCCCTAACAGCTTAACAGTCTTAAGTTTCTCTTCATTCTTAATGCCAATACATGATAGACCACTAGCCTCTTCTGGATTACAAAACAGGCTGTCTGGGATCATTAACTCTTAATCAGTAAGAGTGCTATTTCTAAAAAAGGTAGCTGATCACATCGATGCTTAAAACCTTTTTTTTTTTTTGCTTATAATCTTTCAATATATTTCCAAGTGTCCTGAAGTCAAGTTCTCTACCTTGTGCATGGCCTGTAGACCTTACATGACTGCTCTTTGTCTAGCGTGATCATTGGTCACTATCCCTATTGCAGGCTGTGCTCTAGCCATACCAAATTACTAAAAAATTCCTGGTCTTATCTCTGGACCTTGTACATACTGTTCTTTCCCCCATTTCCTTTGACTTCTGTTTGTCTTTCAGGACATTACCCTCAAGATAATGTCCATAACCCCTGCCTCCAAACTTCCCCAAGTCTTATGAGAAAAATCCCTCTTCTGGGCTGAGCACGATAGTGGGACAAGAGGAAAGTAAAAGGAAATAGAGGAAAGAACTAGGAGGCAAAGGGTATTTATAGAGGTCTAAATACAGGCATGTACATATGTAAATA